TGGGAATCTAATGTGAAATCCATGAAATTTCATCTTAAACGAGTATTAGGATCCACACTTCTAACTTACGAGGAATTTTTAACAGTGCTTACACAAGTGGAAGCGTGTATGAATTCCCGTCCTCTTTGTGCGATGTCTAGTGATCCAAACGACTTTAGTGCATTGACTCCAGGTCATTTTCTGATTGGAGCCCCTTTGCTTGCCATTCCGGAATCTGACTTGAGTGATGTGAAATCTTCACGACTTAAACGTTGGTCTCTAGTTCAACAGACTGTGAACGATGGTGTGCAGAATATTTAACACTTCAACAATGTGCTAAGTGGTTTCGTGCGTCTCCAAATCTAAAATGTGGTGATTTAGTTCTGATCAAAAACGAACAACTGTCTCCAAACCAATGGAAAATTGGAAGAATTGCCTTAATTCCAGGTAGTGATAAAAAAGTTCCAGTGGCTACAATCCATACAGCCGCTGGTGATTTCAAACGAGCTGTTACGAAATTGTGTCTTATCCCCAATCATGACTAATATGAACTATGAACTATTGACTTTTTTCATATTATTGAACTTTAATTTTAGTTATATTTTTAATTAATTTTTTTGTTAATGTTATTATGTATGCTTTAACTATTTGTCTTTTTTGAACCCTTAGAAGGCTTCAAGGCCGTGGGCTATGTTTAGTATTTTTTGTTACCAAACGAATTACTAGTGTGTCTTTGCAACAATAGATGGCGCTGCTGCCTGATGATTCAATTCTGGTTGCTATGGTAACGAACTTTCAACTCATAACTTATGTGATTTGTATTCTATTCTTTTTTTTTAATTGCTACAGTGCTAAGAGTGAAGTGTGTTGTGTCGTCACGTAGACGGCATTCCTTCTATTTAAAAGAGTTATGTAAAATAAACAAGTGATATTACAGTCCTCTTACCTTTGTTTTTGTGAACTAATTCTTAATACTACCAATACCGTAATCCGTTCTTCAGACAATTCCCATCCTGAACACGACTGTCACTTAAAGAATAAAGTTTCATTGGGTAAGCTATGGTAAAATAACCCAGTTAACGCAGTAACCGCAGTTAACGTTAACCCAGTTAACGTCCGCACTGAAGATATCTTTTGCTTCATATTCTTTAAGTACTGAAGGCAACGTAGACTGAAACCAATTTGCTGTCATAGTCAGTAAAACTTTATTAGGTTCACTGCAAACATTTCTTAGTACTATGCCATTTCTTTTAATGAAATGGTCCAACCATCCTGGATTTGCAGAAAATGTAATACCCATTTGTTTAGCAAGTTCACTGCTTCTTTCTAGCATTAAAGGTCCTATATGGGAGCATTCCGAGATCTCGCTTACTTGAACCAAACAAGTACAGCCATCTTTAAATCCTCATGCCTGGTCATTCTCATCCGTTTTCGTACTGGCTGAAACTCACTCTTCAAGCATTTCCATAATCTTCTCAAATACTTCCTTGTACGAAGTAAAAAGGAAGTATTGTAATCGGGAAAAGTTTCAGGCAGCATATTTCAACGAAAATATCCATTTTGACCACTATCGAACGCAATTTAACGATGTCTTTGCGTGATATCTGTTCGCAAGGACAGAATAAAATACTCTTTTCCTTCAAAAAAATTATAAAACTGCTTTAAAATCAATTCTAAAGAGAATTTTTCCTGGCGTCTGTACGAACGTATGTACGTACGTACATTCGTGCGTACGTACGTATATCGCATAACTCAAAAACGAGTATCCTCAGAACGTTGAAATTTTGTATATAGGACTGCTATAACATGTAGATCTGCACCTCGTATTTTGGTTGCAATCGGCCGCACCAAACATATATAAATATATTTATATATATATCCACTCTGTTACCCGGCTCAGTGATCTCAGTTTCTTTACTCTTATATGCTGGTAAATTGTACATTTTTTGCTTTAAAAATGATTGAATTATGTTGTTTTTATCTTCCGGTTAAGGATTTTATGCCTTTAGTAAATCTGTGTGCAATATTTTTTAAATTATCAGCAATTTAAAGTTGTTTAATTGCAGCTAAGCCTTTTTTAATGGCAGCCATTGATGTTTACATTTGAAACAGGAGACTAGTGGATTTGTTGCCAATCTAGAGAAACTTAGCTTCGCAACAACAAAGATAACGCCTTCATTTATTATTTAAATCATGCTTAATCCGTTCTGAAATTTTTTCGAGGAAATAAGCGTTTAAGATTTACTTCGTAATTTTTAATATAGATATTTTGAATTCTTATATATTTTTCGCGAAGTGAGAACTGAATTAATTAAATGAGAAATACTCAATCGTCTGTGAAAAACTGTTTCTTTTTTGTTTTGTTTGCTTAATTTCTTTTATACATCATTTTAGCTTTATTATAGTATTTGAATAGAACATGTGGCAACAATTAGATAATTCTATTCTTTAAATGATATAAATTTTATGCATTATGAGTTATAATATGAACGAAATATATAAGTTAACTGTTATATAATTATTGGATTATACAGTCAAAAGTCTTTAATCCGGACTCGTCGGGACTTCGGCGATTCTGGATTATCGATTTTTCCGGATTATAGATCATCAGTTTAAATCTGGTAAGATGGCATGCAGAAATTATAAAATTAAAAATATGAAACCGTAATTTATAAAATAATGAGCAATTATGATCTAAAGGGTATCAAAATTTACCAAAAAAGAAGCCTAATATTTATTTGTTTACTTTATTAAACATTTCTTTCAACGCGCGGATGCGTAAAGCATACCTTACGCATAGCCGAAATTAGAAAATTGCATCCAGAAAACTATTTGATTTGTATTCGTGATATTTATAATGACGAGGAATTTGATTTAAATCGTATAAAGACGGAGTACATCGAAATTAAATACTACATTTAGTAAGGAATTATAAGCCGAATAAAATAAAAACATCTGCCCTGAAGATAACGATAGTGTTGACAGATCAACTTCCAGTTCATTGCGCGCCACGACGTCCCCCCCCCCCCGCGCAGAGCAGCGTGAAATTGATAAACAGATTTCGGAACGGTTAGATAAACAAAGTATATGCTTTTATCCATTTTTTGTAGCAATTAGTTTTGTTTGATGGACATTGAAACATACTTTCGTTTTCTAGATCCTTTGGGAGCTCCAGCATCGGAAATTCTATTTGACATAATCGAAAGTTCAAGCTTACTTTTAGGAAAATTGCTCTTACAGTCTGCAAAAAATAATAAGCCGGATCCAATTCGAAGATTAAGGAACAACGCAATTATCAACATTAACTGAAATAGATAATTAAATAATTTTAGCTTATACCGTTCGTTATACATTAAACGCGCACGCGAAAACGTATTCTGCACTTGCGCAGACGCATATGCGCAGTCGTAAATGTCTTGCGCGCACGAGTAAAACGCCTATGCGCATGCGTCAATGCGGCGCATGCGCAGAAAGATTTTAGCTTTGAGGTCCGGATTATAGATCATTCCTGATTACGGGTGTCCGAATTAACGACTTTTGACTGTATAACATTTAACTTAGTTTCCATTATAAAATTATTATATAAGTTAACTGTTATATAATTATTACTAGTGTTAAGTGAATCTAGCGCCAGAGTGTCGCTATCGTAAACAAGTACTAGAGTGAATTTTAAAGAATGCATTTATTCTATTGTGGTTTATGCGCTGTCAGCGAAGTAGATTTAATTCAATCCAATAAGTTTAAATGAAATGCAAGAAAAAATGCGTATAATATTCCAATACAAGGAAGTCATGTGGTGTACACATCAGATTTTTTAAAGTTATTGTTGATAATGTAGCATTAGCAATGCCAAAATCTTTACAGATTTCTGTTTTTGTTTTCTTTTTTTTTCTTTTGTTTTCTTTTTTTTTTTTTTTTTTTTTATCAATAGCCTTAAGAAGCTCCATCTTAAGTGAAACAGCAGTTTGCTTTTCCCTGAACTCTTTGCCACTGTGCTCGTAAAAAAATTCTTCTCAAATACAGAAAAGAGGGGGAAACTCACTGATTTTTTACTCACACTGCAATTAACTAATTAATTAATCACTAAATTCCAAAGCCAACTGATGAGAAATTAGATGTTTTTGTATGGTATTTGGAGGCGTGGAAAGTAAAAGTAGTTTAGATAAACAGAATCGGCTCATGTAACAGGCTATTTTATGGTCAAGTTAGCCTCCTTTCTACAAAACATGCGAAACCACTTCTCTTTCATTTTAAAACTCTCTTAAATCTCACCTGCACAGCTGGTGTTTTCTGTATCATGTTCATTCCCAGAAAGGAAATCTTTTCATGTTAAACAATTTTTGTTTTGTGTTAAGAGAAAAAAAAAAAAAAAATGCATGAAAATGCATAAGAATTTGTTGGGACCTCCTATTATTTCAAGTTAATTGATATTTCGTATTGAGTGTTTTCACGTTAAACATATTTCACTGTATTTTAAAATTTTGAAATAAAAAAGGGTCTCATGCAATTAAAGTGAAACAATATTACACAAAGCATTTAATATTTTTATAGCTAAAATCTATCTATTTTCTAATGCACATAAACAATTTATTTAACTAAAATTATTCATATATTATAATACTAAACTTGCAGACACATTAGCAGAGAAAACAGTGTTTTTTCTGTGAAATAACCACAAACCTTTTAAATTTTTATTGCCGCTTAAAAAAAAGTGACTAAGGAAAGCCATGAGACCCACACGGCTAAATCCAGGTAGTTACAAGTTATTATCTACCACAATTTAGTTTGGGAATGTTTAGGTTTTTCTACGTAAGATATATGGAAAACTGACCATACCTTTACCAAGATTTGAATCACAGATTTTTCAATAGCTATCTAAACACGCAAAACACCTGTATTGTGAAAGCATGAGTGGGAAAATATGACATTTTCTTATAAAACTCTATTCCCATAAAAAAAGGAATGGCTTTTGTAATATTTACACTTTTGCAATGCATTTAATGGAAAAAAAGTAAACATACTCCATCTTTTTTCTTCCACTGGCGTTGATGCTTTTTCACATCTTTCTCCACCACCTCAGCCTCTAGAGTAACAGCTCCAGGTCCACTTGCACGTGTCATAGTTGGCTGTTCAGGTCCATACAATCCAATAGCTCCTTTGCCTTTTCGAAGTTTTGCTTCTATAGGAGTTGTTATCCCTTGAAGCTTTTTACCTAAACCTTTACCTGGTTCATAACCCATCTAAAAAAGAGACGACCCATTTACTTACAAAACTTATAAAAAATTAATTTAAATATACAATCTATGATGATATGATGAAATAATACATATTATGATGCTGTTTTGGCAATAAAAATTTCTTTTCCACTTCATGTATACAATAAAACCTGATTACAAGGGTACTGTTATTGAAATAGATTTATTGTTTTTTAACAGAGTGTTTATAAAGTCCTGGACCCATTTTGATGTTTATAAAATAATAAAGATAGATTAAAATTAATAACATAAATGGTTAGAAACTCAAAAAGTTTCACGACCCTTGTCAATGAACTTCCACATGTGCCCCTTCATCGCAAGGAGAATATCAAGTTGATATTCAATTTCACGCCAAGTACCAGCAAGCATGTCGGCATACACAGAGGCTATTGCAGTTGTAATTCTGGCTTTTAGGCCATCAATGTTCGACACTCTCCTCCTGTAAACATTGTCCTTTACAAATCCCCAAAGGAAAAAGTCCAGCGGCATATCAGGTGATCTGGGTGGCCAAGGAATTGGACCTCCTTGCCCAATCTATCTTCCCATAAAATGGTCATTCAAAGAACTACGAATGATGGTACCCCCAATGAGGTGGTGCACCATCTTGTTGCAAAAAGACATGTGGCTGAAGCTCTTCTAGTTCTGGAAATATGAAGTTTTCCAACATGTTTAAGTATACGACTGATGAGACCGTGTTTTCTGTAAAAAAGAAAGGCCCAATGACTCGATCGTGCATTAGTCCACACCACACATTAACCTTTGTGGAATCCCTTTGTGCCTCATGGGGGGTTTCAGATCACCATATGCGCACATGGCGATTAACAATGCCAGAAAGATGCCAAAAACAAAGAGAAAAATGCAATTAATAAGCAGACGATATTTAGAAAAGTACAGATATTTAGACTGGAAAATGAAATTATCTGAAATTAACCACACGCGCAGACGATATTTACAAAAGTAAAGATATTCAAACCTGAAAAGGAAAATATACAAGTTATTCTATCAATAAATGTGATAAGTTTGTTTATATCTTCATTATTTTATGAGTTATTAAACATCAAAATGGGTCCGGGACTTTATAAACACCTTGTATTAACTATACTGCACAAAACCATTTACAGTTTGATAATTACAGACTGAAAATTAAATATGACACTAGGAAGGAAACAATCATCATAAAAATAGTAGGAAATCATAATAACCTGATTCAATCATCAAATCATATGTAGACAGGTAAATGTGGCCATTCATGAAGCATAATGTTGCTAATTTAAAATTCATATGGCAGTGCTTCTTAATCTTTTTTAGAACCCTTTTTAATGTCTATGTTTATAGTGGAGTGCCTGGTTTGCTTCCATATTATGGTTTTATTGCAACATTCTGTAAACAATACATTGCAAACAAAAATGACAATTATTTCAAGTAATATTTATTTGCTTCAAAAATTATATCAAAATTAGTCCAAAAATTCTCAGCAGTACTGCTTTTTATTACCAAAAATATACTTAATAGTAAGCTTTATAGATGAACGTAGAATTCTCATGTCAGATTCCACTTCAAGTCTGTTCGATATGTACAAGTATGGATATTCAAATTTGAAACTGCCCCGGAATTCCAGTAACAGCATTAATTCAAATTTTTCTTGCAGCAATGAACTTGATACCATTTAAATAAAAGTTTCATACTCTTCTGTTGGCATGGTGGAAGGTGTGCATTGACAATAAATGGATTTTTAATCTACAAGTCATTTTGATATTTAATCTGCTGTTCATTTGGAGAATTCTAATTAAAAGCTTCCTTCAAACTAGCACGGCTGCTGCAAAATACCCCAAATCGACCTGACAAAGTCGTTACAACCCATGACGTACTATCAGATTTTCATCGACTGTACAGATTAAATTTTATTTCTCCTAATTTAACACAGGAAGTCACTTTTTTTAAATACTATGAAAGAAAAAGCACAAATCGCTTTGAAATCCTTGAGTTTGTTAATCAAAAATTCATTAAAGTTTTAACAAAATATAAAATCGATAATAAAACAAATTCCAAATTTGGGCTTCCAGATACCCATATTGGAGTAAAGGATTACATTATTCAAAATTTTACCGCATTATATAAACATTCATTCTTATTTTATGAATTTTCAAGAAGTTAACTGACTTTTGGTACAATATGTCTTAATGTAAATAAAATTTCTTTTTGTTTTTTCAATTGATTTTATGACAGAAATTATGTTTTTGGGAGCAGTTAATGAAATATTAAGTCAAAATACGTTAAATCTGTGGGAAATATCTCGGAAAACAGGTTAGCGAACGTATGATTGAAAATTGCAATCTCCTGTCTAAAGCAGAGCACTGAATTTTGAATTTTTCTTTTTGAATTTTGAATTGCTGTAAGAGAAATACACATGCATGTGAACTGAAATCGCATTCATTTTGAAAAAAAATCAGAACTAGCATCCATTTTTTTTCAATCAGAATTTTGGTTGCATGTGAGGCCAAATGACTTCAACAAATTCATTTTCTTTCTTTGTATTTCCCCAAGTAATGGCTAAAATAAAATATATTTGAATTGCAACTATGACAACGCATTTGTGAAAAGTGCCAACTATATTAAGCATTATCTTATTGTTGGCTGTGACTGTAACACAAATACTCTCTCTCAAAAAAAAAAAAAAAAAAAAAAAAGCAGAGTAATTAAACGCACTTGCTACATTGCATATATAGAAAAATGGGGAATATATAGAAAATTATGATTTTTCTAATGCTATTAAGAATATGACAAAAAATACACATATTTCAATATTATAATATTTTTAAATTTTTCTTTATTACTGGCACCTTCTTTTTACGTGATTTTTTAATGGGTTGATATTACTTATGAATCCCACCTACATGCACTTGAAAGCCTTTCATAAAGTATAATTTTTTACAAACATATTTCGTCACTCTTAAGACAACTTAATTATTTTGGTATTATTTTGCCATATATTACTATAGTTTGATTTGGTTGAATTTATAAATGACTGAAGACTGCCATCATTATCCTCAGCTAAAAATACCAAAATGCTTATTGAAAAACATCAATGTAAAATTTAAAATTATGTAAAAACTGCTTGCATTCTTCACAAAGCAAACCTTCAGATTAATTTCTCTTTGCCGAATAAAATTTTATTAAATAAATAATAAATTAAAAATGAATAAAATTGTTCACTTCTTAAAGTTCTCACTTATTTTAATTCTTGTGGAATTTATAGTATTTGTTCTCAATGCAGTTTGACATATAATCATAGAGTATGGATCTTATGTTCGAAAAAGAGAAATGCATAAACATTCAGTTGCCAATCATAGTTAGTCATTTAAACATACTTTTGAATTACGTTTCATGAAAATTATTCATATAGTTCCAAATTTCAAAATTGCACTTCCAGATGCCCATATTCACAGGTGGAGTACGTTATTCAAAATTTGATGGCTTTAGGTACCTATGCTTTATAACAATGTGAGAAACATACATGCAGATTCTTCATTATTTAATTTCTTTAAATATAATACAGGACGTTAACACTTGTATTTGGAGACAACACTTTGAAAAGTGAAACAACACTTGTAGTGAATCAATGCAAAATACCAAAGCGAAATTAACAGTTCTTCTGGGAAAATTGCCTCTTTGGAGTAGCAATAATAATAATAATAATTTTTAAAAAAAAAACTTAAAAGTTTACGATTTTAAATTACTTCCAAAGAGGCACTTATTTTTACATTTTGCATGTTCCTTTATTTATTAAATATCACATTCTTCGCATTTAAACCATAAAATTCAGTTCAACAGCAATATCGCAAAATGATTTTAAAATAAGCATATCTTTCTAAGGTATTTCTCCCACTTTCTTGGCATGCCTTCGCTCAGCGTGTATTCGAGAGGCCCCTGTTTCGCGTCCCAGCAAAGGCTTTGCTCGCTTTTCATCTCTTCTAATTCGAAATAACCTAATGTCTCTACAATGGCGCTGTAACTAAAAATGATGGTAGATGATAATTCTTCACCAACAGGATTTGGCAATTGAGTTCCCTAATCCCCAGTCTCGCTTTAAAAGTGGGAGTACATAAGCTATTTCTCCGGTCTTCTTAGCATACCTTCATAGTGTAGTGGTCAGGATGCTCGGCACGCATTTGAGGGGTTCATAGTTCGATTTCCGGCGAGGGTATTGCTTATTTCTCACCTCTATTGCTTCGAAGTATTCTAATGTTTGTACATCTTTAGAATTTCTGATACGCACGCGAGAGATAAAAATGCTTTTTCCAGCATCTTGTCTTTAGATTTTTCATGTCATATTATAATCTCCCCCCCCCCCCGAAAAAAAAAAAAACACTACAACTTCACAAAACTTATTTACAAATGTACAAAATTCGTAACACTATGATGAAAATAAAATTAATAATTAATGTACATAATATTTACCTGGATAAACTTAGTAATGTACCGTATAATAAAGTAAAATAAATACAAATATTAGCTTATTTGTTGCATCTTCATATAAAAATCTACACTAGATTTAGACAACTCATATGAAATGACATTTATTAACCTTCTGAGCGGCACAGGATTTTATATCTGTGATGAAGACCGGTATTTAAACAGCATTTATTAATTGAGTTTGTATAATTACTTATTTTAGTCCGTATTTTCATAAGCTTACATTCCTGAACATGATATTTACGTTATTAAAGAAAGTAAGAAAGCAAAATATCTTAAATTATAAGCTAATATATGCCAAGTAGCAAAACTTCTCATGACCGGATAAAGTCGGTCATAACGCTCAGAGGGTTAAGAAAAAGGTCTAAATGTACTGAGGAAAAAAAAATACAGTTCAGATGAAATAAAATTTAAACAAGAAAAATTACTCTGGGTAAATCAAAAGGTACAAATAAGAGTTTTTTTTTATTTTTAATTTAAAATAAACTAATAGAACATAATTTTAATATATGACACTATAACAGAACTAATGTTCTATTATATCACTCAAATAAAAAGATGAAATATAATAATGCAGTATTAACAGGTATTTATAGTAGTGTAGTAACAGGTATTATTAATTACAATGCTTTTTCTCTAATATAAAAATACTAAAGGTTAAAAGGAATAAGTTAATACTAATTATGTATAAGTTTTACACTACAACTCATATACACCTAAAATATTTATTGCATTGAAATGAATTTATTGCTAATAAAAGACAGTTTTCACTATTGTGTAATGAAGTTTAGAAATAATGTGAAAAAATACAAATAAAAATATTTGGCTATTTGCAGTAGTAAAAATAATGCAAAACCACCATGTGGATTTAAAAACTTCAAAAATTGCTGAAACTTCTTTGATATTTAAATAAATGCATTAATAATAATAATAATAATAATAATAATAATAATAATAATAATAATAATAATAAAGAAAGAATATTTTAATACTATGTGAAGATGAAAAAAACATATTCTTGTTTTTGCTACTCACCTGCAGTAAAAGTTTCTGACCAATACCTTTAGTGTGCTTCTCCCAACTGCCAAATTCATTGCTAAAAGATAGAATTAAGTCCACAATTAAAATATCATTAGTGCAGCAATATTAATGTTTCTTTATAAAAAAATACTGGAATTAAATAATCCCACTTAATACATGATCAGAGATACATAGAACAAACACTATGTAAATTTGCATTCCGTTAGAAGTATGTCGGATAGTTTCTAGATAATTTTATATAAGCCATTTTACTATGTTAATCTCAAGAACATTATTTCTCCCTATTAATCAGTTCTTATATCAAACAAAGAACTTATATAATCAAAGCATTTTACATTGCAATCGTATTCAAAAGCTGGTATCTGATGATGAAATTCTATTTCTGACAGCAAAAACCAGGCAACAAAGACAAAAGCTCAGTAATATTACATGACATACTGGCAAGGGATATAATTTATAAACAGCAATTGCTTTATTAGCAAGTTAAGCATGCCAATTAAGTTAAATGTAATCAATCTGTAAAATGTATGTATTAGTACCTTCAATTATATAAGTCAATTACTGATTTCTGAGTCAATTCTCATTTAATACTAGATCTGCTGTTCATATGCACATAAATATTTCTTGAAAATGTTCTTGAAAGTGCACACTACTTTTTTTTAGTAAAAATATATATTTGCTGCTAAATAAACAGGCATTTCCTAAAACTGAAGGACCGTAGCAAACACTTTTCTAAAATTAACATGCTACAATACTGTCAACCAAACTAACAATAATTATAATAATAAATAAGGGGGAAAACTGTTACTAATCAAGAATGATTTAATTATAATATAATTTTAGATTTCTTCCTCTTCTACTAAAATAAATAAAATATTTTTATGAAAATAAAGTAGTAGTTTAGTTACCAACAGTCGAAATAATTTTATGAAATAAGAATTTAATTTAATCTACAGTAAAATACAAAAAGCACATAACTATTTACCTGGAGCAATTTCTAAATTACAATATATTTCATGCTGACAAAAGGAGATAATAACAGAATATTACTATTTTACAGCTTCAATTTAAAAGGATTAAACTGACTTCCCCCCTTCTATAATAAATCATTAGTACTACCTTTTAAAAGCCTTGGTGAGAAAAGAAAATAGTGCATTTCTGCCATGGCAAGAAACAAATTGTTACTTATCTATAGACATGTGCACATGGATTTACATTTTTAAAAATGTTCTCTTTTAAAAAATAATAGTTTTTCATTGCTAAATACCTAGCTTGCTAATTATTTTCAATTTGTCTTCAATAGAAAATGATACAGCACTTTCAATGATACAGGAAGTTGCAGAAAAATATTCATGAGGCACGGAAGTATGTCTCCAAAATAGTTATGTGGTAACCCAAGTATGCACATAGCACGCCTGTTCCTACATGGTGCATAATGCGGAAGTTGTACAGAGCCGAGTTTATGCAATTCTCTGATGCTTCTCTAAAAGAAAACAGATTGCTTTGTACATGAGAACAACACAAAAGAGTATCTGGAAAAAAAGAAGTGTTTTACTGTTGATGTTTCTTCCTCTTTTAATTTTATTGATTGATTACTCTTACACAGAATTCTTTGTGCACTGCTGTTTCAAAAATGATTATTGCCTTTCACTAAATAGTTTAATGAAAAATTAGTCGACAACGAGTTAACATATGCTGTCCAAAGTCAGCAAAAAGTTCACAACTTTTTGATGGTGGGTGTGGATAATCAGAAATTACCAACAATAATTAATGATACAAAAATAATATAATGAAATCAGAAAATAAAACACTTATGGGAATCAGGGGACTGGCACAATAATAAATAAAAAAAAAAAAAAAAAAACATAGGAATGTGCCTTGCCATGGTCTTAGTTAACAAAATTTATGTTCAGTCATTATATGAGTCATGATAAATATATTTGATGCCTAATTAACAGCAACTGCCCATTAACGAACATCAGAAAGTATTCATTACAATTGAATTTTCGGATTGGCATTTATTTTAAATTTTTTTTTTTGCAAAACTATATTAAATAAAATAATAAATATAAATTTACATTAAATTGCTTATATATGTATCTATTAAATAAACTGTGTTATGTAGCTATTAAATGACTTTCTGATTTGCACTGGCAACCATTTAGCCAATTTCATTTTTGCTTCCCAAGGCTGTATCATTAAAGTACTTAATGTTAATATAATGTGCATCATAATTCATATTTGAAATGAATGCTCAATAATATATCTATATATATATTTTAAAGCATTTTAACTTGAAAAGAAATGAAGCTTTCCTTACAGTGCTAAAAAAAGTATTGAGGCACAGGAAACTTTCAAATATTTAGTGATACAAATTCAGCTATTAATCCAAAACTAAATATTTTTCATTGCTTTTTATGTCTAAATACTTTGCTAAATCTATTAGGAAGAATAATACTAAACAATGCTAGTGAATAAATGTGATACTATAATAACTTGCCTTTAAATATGAAATTTAAAATATTGCGGCATTGCAATAGAAACGTTATAAAGAACCGATTATAGCAGGCTTTTCTTATAAAATACCCAGAAACAATACAGTTAAAGACTTAGGAACTACTTGATCAAAGAAACTGACCATGCTTTGATGAAATTGAGATTTCTTTTTATGTGAATAAATTTGCAATTTTCCACTGGATTTGTGAAAAATTTCAGAAAATAATCGAAGTATTGAATTTAAAATAAAATTTACTTTTCTCTTTAAATCCATTGTCACTGTAAAACAAAACACAAAAAAGACACCCAAAGAAATTCACTGAATATGAAGAAATATTTTTAATAATAGAACCAATGAAGTCGGATTTCCCCTTTAAAAACATGATAAACAATTAGCAAATTCAGTAATGTACAAATTGTTAGAACTATTTTAAGAAAATAGACCTTTTATGGTCAATTAGCTAGAAGAAAACCATATCTCAGCAAAGAGAATCAAATGCCATGATTGCAATTCACCAAGACTGTATTAAAACACCCTCCCCCCTTTTTTTAATTTGGATGTATTTGTAGATAAAAGTAAAGACTTCAAAATATTTGGGATTGTTTGCAAGACAAAATCAGAATTCGCAACATAAATGTAGAAATGCTTGTGTAAAAACTCACCGAAAAATACAGAAGTAAATTTCAATCAAAATCTTATGAAATCCATGCTTAGAAGATTCAGAGTTCATGAAAGGGAAAGGACACTACACTATTAAAGAAATTTTTACATTTGAACATTACTTTCTCATTTGTACATGAAAGAGAGTAAAACTTAATATTTATTTAACTTTACTTTTAATTAATTTTAAGGTTTTTTTTTATTCCATCAGCCCTAAGATATGGCGTAATGTGTTGATGCATGCGCATAATATTTTTACGCATGCGCATAATACGTTTACGCATGCGCGTTTAATGTATAACGGACGGTATAAGCTAAGCCAAAATTATCTAATTATCTATTTCAGTTAATGTTGCAGATTGAGTTGTTCCTTAATCTTCTAATTGGATCCGGCTTATTATTTTTTGCAGACTGTTAGAGCAATTTTATAAAAGTAAGCTTGAATTTTCGATCATGTCAAAAAGAATTTCTGATTCTGGAGCTGCCAAAGGATCTACAAAGCAAAAGCATGTTTCGATGTCCATCACACAAAAAGTGGAATTGCTGCAAAAAATGGATAAAGGCATATCCATCTCAAAATTATGCGAGGAGTATGACATTGAAAATTCAACTGTATATGACATACGCAAAAAGAAAATGGAACTTTTTGAATTTTTTGTGGTTTCCGACACCCCACTTGTAATGAATAACAGAAAAAGTGTTTGTTATGCTAAAAGTGACGATCATGACAAAGTGATGATTGAATGGGTCAGACAGTGTCGCAGCGAGGGCGTGCCAATTGACGGGTCCAATGCTAATGGCTCAAGCCAAAATATTTCATGAAGAAATGAACTTAAACACTGAGTGCCATATTCGACAGGTTGGTTAACCAAATTAAAAAATAGCCATGGTATAAGACAAAAATTTCAGGTGAAAAAGCATCAGCTGATACTGAAACTGCAGAACAATTTGCAGATGAAGTCATTTAATTCATTACTAGTGGACAATTATCTCCAGAACAAAGTTACAACGCTGATGAAACCGGTCTTTTCAAGCAATATGTACCACAAAATACCTTGGCAACCTCTACAGAAAAGGTTCCAGCTGGTGTCAAACATACCAAAAGCGAGACTAACAATTTTAGCATGCGCAAATGCTGCAGGAATGCACAAGTGCAAACTTTTCGTAATCGGAAAGCATGCACGACTTCGAGCATTTAAAGGAGTAACGATTTTCCCCGTTATATATCGCGCAAATAAAAGAGCATGGATGACACAAGCGTTGATGAATGATTGGTTTGAAAATCATTTTCTACCCGAGGCTCGGCGACATTTGAATTAAGTTGGTTTACCTGTACCTGATGACTCAAAAATAGTCCTGATTGTTGACAACTGTTCGGCACATACTTCACTTAAAGTTTTAGTGAAAGATAATATATCCGTATTATTCTTCCCTCCAAATTGTACATCTATCATTCAGCCTATGGATATGGGAATAGTGCACGCACTGAAATGCAAATATAAAGTAGCATTTAAAAAATCTATCTTAAATTTCTTGAACAATGCCAAGACTATTCAAGACTTTTTGAAATTTTTTAGCATAAAATCTGCTGTGTGGAGCATCGCAAGATTGTGGGAGGATGTGTATCGAGATACGTTAAAAATGCTTGGCATAATTTATGGCCAGCTACCATATTTCATGGTGAGGACGATGAAGATGATAGCCATGAATTTGAAGATTTTTGGACATCGCAAACTAAAGGGGAAATTTTCCAGTTATCGGATTTTGTAAAGAAATGTGGAGAAAAGGTAATAAATGAAGATGATATAGCAGAAGTTTTTCATTGTGATGACAATGCCCCAATCATCAATCAACGGACAGCGAAATCTTTAGTGGTTCTAAATCCAGAAAATACCACTTCCGATAGTGAAGAAATTGACAGAGAGGTTATTGTAAACGCAAAAATTTCGATTGACAAGTTAGTCGGTATTCTCAATACATTCTTTCAATCTTATCTAACTCTATTCATAGTAAATGAAGCCCAATGAACATGGTAATGCACAGCAAACCATACTAAGGAGGTTTATTTTAAACTCCTTGATATGGAATGGAATGTTTCACATATTGTTTTTCTTTGGTTAGTATATAGGAAGAAAGAAATAAAGAATTAAAATCTGATATACTTAAGCTAAGCTAACATTGCAAATCACACTCTTTCTTAACTTTCTGATTTGATCCAGCTCATCATTTTGATTATTTACTCTACTTGCAAAAACTATACATCAATTAATCAGCAAATGGATAACGGAATTTTGCACACATTTGAATACTGTTTCAGAATTCATGCAGCAACCAAATTGTTTACGAATACTTGAGGTACAGTAATTCAAAATTTGGTATGTATAATAATACAAGGTCGCAAAAGGTTTGTGGACATTAAAAAAAAAAAAAAAAAAACATACTTGCATAATTTACATTAGCTACTATATTTCATAATGATTATGACAGCTACAAATTTGAATGTTTTCAGATATCACAAGTAGAAAGAGAAATTTTCTTATTAATGAAATTATTTAATTTTTTATTAATGTAAAATGAATATGATATAAGTGAAGTCTGCTATTATGACAATAATGGTCAAGTTATAAATTAACGGATGGTGATATCAATAGTATGGTAAATGGTTTTTTAAATCCAGAAAATGCCACCATTTTAGGTTCCAGTCACATTTTGATTTCATGAAGTGGCTATTCAAATCTTGCCTCCCCCCTTTCTTTTTTTCTTTTTTTTTTTTTTTTTTTTTTTTGGAAGAAACAAGTTGTTCACTTGTTTGTACCTAGGCAAATTCCAAATATCCATTTCAATAAATTACAATAAATAAGTCACTGGAGAAAAAATGTAAATGCATTAGAAAAGAAGCAACCAAACTGTGATGCTTGGTGCCAAGGAAACAGACCAGACAAGAAAGTTATATGTGGTATGGCTTTAATGGAAAAGAATCATGAAAATTTCCGTTTAATGGAATAAAACAAAGAAATGCTAAATGAAGATGTTATAATGAAGTCTTTATTGTTATAGCAATGGTCCAATCATCCATCAACAGAGGGCAAAATCTTCAGTATAGCCACTGATAGTGAAGAAAGCACGATAGAGAGAATGCCATTGTGAATGAAAAGATCTAATTGACTGTTTGATAGGATTCTTGATACAGCAATTACAGAACTTGAATAAAGGAACTATCCAACCGAACAAGAAATTAAGGATTTCTATAAAATTAAAGAGAACATATTAACACAAGAAATGAAATATCTTAAACCAATGCTGATAGAAATGTTTAATAAAACAAAACTTTTTTAAATTTTGGTTCCCTTCATATATGCTTCATAAACAACAACTTAATTTTTTCTAATGTTATAATCTCCATATGTAATCTTACTAGATATAAAATAATGATTTGAAATCACTGACTCAGACTTTGTACAGTATAATTAATTTCAACTTTAAAAAGTCCATACACTTTACTCAAATTTATACGTGATACTCTGATACTGTTTCTTAGGCTGGTCAAATTTATACAAAGGAGTATTCTACAATATATACAAATAATAGCAATTTTTTATAGAAAAGCATACAAACTTTGTATTAGACTTTTGAAGATTTCTTAATCCTGCTATTTGATATGCATTTCGATTGCCACTCAAACCACTTCTTTCATTTGAAAAACTTTTCCTTGGAACAGGTTTGGGTTTAATAGTTTCTTCATCTTCACTAGATCCTTTCTAATAAATAAATAAATAAATAAAAATTTAAAATAAATAAATAAACATATAACTTGAATTGACTTTAAATAAGCGGGCATATTAAAGTATAATTAAAAAGTATAAAATTTATTTTAGATTATTAGAGTAGTGTGGCAAAATTTACCGCAAATATTTGTTCATATTTAATTTTTTAAGAGAATAAAATTATTTTAAACATTTACTTTAAAAATTAGAATGATAATTACCTAACACACATATGAAAGATAAGACAATTGTTAATATGATTAGTGTAACTTATAGTAACAGTCATATTCTAATTAACTAAAAGATCTACAGCAATTTAAAACTAAAGTGATTTTCAAAGAAAATTTTAAAATAATTTTACACATATCCAGATCAATAAAACTATTTCTAAAAGATGAAAAAAAGTAAACTAAGGCATCATGACAGGGAAAATATACCTACTTCATCTTCTGAATCTTTTTTCTCAGTTTTTTCACCTACTGTTCTCACACCACCACTTATAAAATTTATCTGTGTGGGAAAATTCTTTTCTTTCCGACCAAAACTCGATTGCTCATCCTCATCATCACTATTATAACTTGCAAACACACCTTAAAATAGTAGAATAAGAAATATTTTTATCAAAATTAAATTAAAATATAATCACATTATAGTACAAAGTCCAAAAATCCGGACTTGTCAAGACTTCGGCGATTCCAGATTTGGAATTTTTTCCGGATATTAGATCATCAGTTTAAATCTAGCAAGATGGCATGTAGAAATTATAAAATTAAAAATATGAAATCGTGATTTATGGAAAAATGAAGTATTTATGATCTTATATCATCTTCATTTATTACCGCTTCTCCATATTTCTTTACGAAATTTGTCGGAAAATTTCACCTTTGTTTTGCGATATCCGAAAACCTTTAAAATTAGTGGCTATCATCATCAAATTTAGCTATCCTTCACTATACATATTTCGCTATGCATGATGAGCTTGGCAACTAACAACCATATGTTCCATTAAATTTTATCTTGCTTCTATCGCGCACTGAGACAATTAAGCCTAAATTTATTAGTTATTTATTATACTTTTGCCTATTTCTTGCACATGCTTAAGGCTTATCACAGTTCTGAATAAATAAATTCCCACATATACTCTGCGAATACTAAATTCTGCAACTCGCTGTGGTCATATGAGCCCTGGCACTGGTTCTGGGTTTATGTGAATAACAAATCAGTTATTCTTAATACAAATAGCCCTAAATGTAATCTTTGGGTCTATGAGTAGCATCAACAAAATCTATTTTTAGCATATGGAAATAAATTTTTGGTAAATTTTTCCTCGTCAACATTTTTTAGCACATTTAACTTAAATCTATAATCTTCACCAAGCATAATGTCAACATAAAAGGTCACCATAGTCCTTTATTATTCAATTACCAACATAGAAAATTGTTTAGGCATCGCTACATGAGTGATTACTCAAGTTGTCATGTTTTGATAAACATGCGGTGATGAAAGGAAGTATGATAAATAATGATTCGCCTGGTTGGCATCAGATCAACAAAGTATCTATGTGGAATGTTTCGGTTTGAGATGTGTGGCAAGAAGATAGGCAGCAATGGAGACAAAATGATTGTTTCTTCAATAACAAGGTATTTTGTTTCGCGACAAAATGAAATTGAGAATCGGGACTCTCCAGATGTTTTATTATGCGCGAAGGGGGGGGGAATCAAATGTGCATGCGTAAAGCCTATGAGAAAAACAGTGTTGGTGGTTTTGAGGTCCGAATTTTAGATCATTTTGGATAATGGATATTCGGATTTCGGACTTTGTACTGTATTTGTCAAGATGGCAAAAATACTAAAAGATTACAATAAAAAATAATATAAACATAACCTTTAGGAATTAATCAACAGTATACTTAGAAGTACCATATAATAACTTGTTCTTACAAAGTACAGAAAAATCATTTAGCATAGATAATAATTAAAAATGCAATACACAGACAAAATTTCTGAACAAAGTTAATTTTAGTAATTACAGTTACTCTGTTAGTTTAAAAAAATGTGGACTTTAGGATTACCTATCAGTCTAGAGATCACCATTATAATGAATAAAAGAAATTACTTCCATCCCAAATACAAACAACTGATAAACAAGATCCATATTTAATTTAGTATATAGCATATGGCTGATGCAGACAGAAATCAAGAATTGATGATTCATTGCATTATAACTCTTTAGTTATGACATACAGCAAATATAAATAAATAAACCCCAAAACAGTTTGAAAATCACAATAAATATCAAATATATAATTATTATGTGCTTTAATTTTCAACTGAATTTAAAATAAAATGCAATACTATACATTTAACCTATTGCAATAGCCAGAAAGCGTATGTATATATATATATGCATATGTGTACAACAAAACTGAAGAAGCATGTAAATAAGATTCTCCTCAGAAAAGGCTTATCTAATAAAAACACAGAGTACACAGTCCTTCCATATTCCAAGCAGCATTTCCTGTTTATGTAACTACATTAGTTTATGTACAAAAAGGCCAAACTATATATGATTAAAGTAGTGACCAGATTCTTAACACCAATACAGTACTTTTAGGGGCAAGGGGATTCTTGAATCCTGAGGAGGTGAGAAGACAACATTTCAATACAACAGTTTAATAATAAAAACTTCTGTAAAAATGCAATGCATTAGTATTTATATTAATTAATATTAAACATAGTATAAAGAAGGTATTTTTATTCAAAATGCCCTCCAAAAGGACAATTTTTAAATTTTCCCAGAACATAAACAAGCAGTTCTAAATATTCACCACACATTTTTTAATACTTTATCAAACATTATAGTAGTTTTAGACTTCAGCCAGAGACTAAATAATAACATCATGAGTAAATATAAGAAAAGTTCTCACTATCTTTCAAACAAGAATTTTTTTCTTTCTAAATAAAATAGTAAGAGCAATAAGCATAAAAATGTACATTTATTATTATTTAAAAAAAGCGAATTTTCAACCAACTTTTACCTGCAAAATGTAAATAATTTTTTGGGGAAAGAACAGGTTTTGTGGAATAATTAAAGTATCAAGTAAATTTTAATTAAAAAACCACTGTTCCACCTTAAAAAAACACAGTTTTAATATTCAACTCACAACAGATAAAAGGCACCTCACACAAGTTGCAGGGCTTCCGGATACTGTTCGCTTTGAAATCCTTGAGTTTGTTAATCAAAAATTCATTCAAGTTTTAACAAAATATAAAATCGATAATAAAACAAATTCCAAATTTGGGCTTCCAGATACCCATATTGGAGTAAAGGATTACATTATTCAAAATTTTACCTCATTATATAAACATTCATTCTTATTTTATGAATTTTCAAGAAGTTAACTGACTTTTGGTACAATATGTCTTAATGTAAATAAAATTTCTTTTTGTTTTTTCAATTGATTTTATGACAGAAATTATGTTTTTGGGAGCAGTTAATGAAATATTAAGTCAAAATACGTTAATCTGTGGGAAAATATCTCGGAAAACAGGTTAGCGAACGTATGATTGAAAATTGCAATCTCCTGTCTAAAGCAGAGCACTGAATTTTGAATTTTTCTTTTGAATTTGAATTGCTGTAAGAGAAATACACATGCATGTGAACTGAAATCGCATTCATTTTGAAAAAAAATCAGAACTAGCATCCATTTTTTTTCAATCAGAATTTTGGTTGCATGTGAGGCCAAATGACTTCAACAAATTCATTTTCTTTCTTTGTATTTCCCCAAGTAATGGCTAAAATAAAATATATTTGAATTGCAACTATGACAACGCATTTGTGAAAAGTGAAAACTATATTAAGCATTATCTTATTGAACACAAATACTCTGTCAAAAAAAAAAAAAAAAAAAAAACAGAGTAATTAAACACACTTGCTACATTGCATATATAGAAAAATGGGGAATATATAGAAAATTATGATTTTTCTAATGCTATTAAGAATATGACAAAAAATACACATATTTCAATATTATAATATTTTTAAAATTTTCTTTATTACTGGCACCTTCTTTTTACAGGATTTTTTTAATGGGTTGATATTACTTATGAATCCCACCTACATGCACTTGAAAGCCTTTCATAAAGTATAATTTTTTACAAACATATTTCGTCACTCTTAAGACAACTTAATTATTTTGGTATTATTTTGCCATATATTACTATAGTTTGATTTGGTTGAATTTATAAATGACTGAAGACTGCCATCATTATCCTCAGCTAAAAATACCAAAATGCTTATTGAAAAACATCAATGTAAAATTTAAAATTATGTAAAAACTGCTCGCATTCTTCACAAAGCAAACCTTTAGATTAATTTCTCTTTGCCGAATAAAATTTTGTTAAATAAATAATAAATTAAAAATGAAATAAATTGTTCACTTCTTATAGTTCTCACTTATTTTAATTCTTGTGGAATTTATAGTATTTGTTCTCAATGCAGTTTGACATATAATCATAGAGTATGGATCTTATGTTCGAAAAAGAGAAATGCATAAATATTCAGTTGCCAATCATAGTTAGTCATTTAAACATACTTTTGAATTACGTTTCATGAAAATTATTCACATAGTTTCCTTAGTCGATGAAAAAGATTTCCTCGAAACTTTTTATATTCACAAAACTTTATTTGCTTTAGATGATGATTTGGAGTAAATCTATACTCCAAAACAGTTATTCTTAATGCTTTCAAAATTTTAAATCTTAGTTTTTTTCATGATTCTATTTCTATTTTCATCAACAGATGACATTATACTCCTATTCTCTTTGTTCTGCTGACTTCTTTATATATTTGTTTTTTCTCCCATCTTTGCAATGCTTTTTTTTTTTCTCTTGAAGAACAGAATGCTAAATATATAAGATCACTTTTGAAATCAGTAATTTTATCCAAAAGCTATGTGAATCTCAGGTGGCTTCTTTGACTGTTTTAAATTCCAGAATGCTTCTTCAAAAAATAGATGAATATAAAAGAAACCTTTTTTTTTTTTTTTTTTTTTTTTTTTATGGAAATTCAGTAAAACAATTATGAAATGTTCCTCCACCTTCCAAAAAAAGGGTCTTTTTGTGCATTGTTTTTGGATATCAAAGATTACGATCAATAAAATGGATGAAGGATAAGAGCAAATACATTAATACTCCTGCTAATGCTTTTAAAAAATTCTTGAAAAAAAAGATAGTGAAGAATAAGATGATGATATATAATTATGATTATTTTACATGCATAATTATTATTATTTTTTTAGTGTAACCATACGCAAATAAAAATAAAGTAGGCTAATAAGCATTTCTCTTTATCAGAATGTTTTAATGAATAAATATTTCCATCTTTATTACTTTTTTTACCATGATTTAAAAAAGTGATATTCGTTTAAGCACTAAATTTTAAAAAATACATACCGTATATCTGTTGCTCTTTTGTCAAATTGTGTCTTACTCTGTTTGGGTTAAATTCATTTTCTATATCCCAGTCTGTAACTTTGAATTCCTCAATTCCATCAGTCATCGTGAAGAGCCTGAAAATTAATGAAAAAAATTTATCCTTACACTTGTTTGCACGAATATTTGAATTTAAAATAACATTAAATAAAACCATACATATATTTTCTACTCTTCTTAAATAAAAATAACATCTATTGTTGCCAATCCATACAACCACAACTTCACAATTTAATAAAACTAAAACATATTTTCTCCCTTCTTCCAGCATGCCTTCATGATGCAACGGTAGCACACTCAGCACATATTTGGGAGGTCCAGGCTTGATCTCAGGGTACAGCATTGCAGATTTTTTAGCTCTTCCGTTTCAAACAAAACAAAAAATTCCAATGGCTCTACAATGGCACCTGAACTAAAAGGTGATGGATGATAATTTGTCACCACCATGAACTGGCAAATGGGTCTCCTAATCCCCAGTCATCCTTTAAAACGGATAGTATATTTAATATTTTCTTTCTCTTTCCACCATGTCTTTGTGGTGTAACAGTAGCACACTCGGCACATATTCAAGAGGTCCAGGTGAAAGCAAAGATGGATTGGAATTAGGGTCATTAATTAGAACAGAAATATTTTTTTGAATGTGAAACACCTTTAGAAAATCTAATTCACCAATGGAAGATGTTTTTTGGATAATTTTTACTGCAGAAAAATTGAAAGTGTGATTTTCAGACTAACAATGCTGGGCAATATACGACTTCTGCGTTTCCTTTTTTTCTAACATATACCTCATATTATTTAACGCAAAATTTTAAAACTCTCTTAGTTTAACCAATGTAAATTAAACCACACTGGCAAGGAATCCTGTAAATACACCAGGAATTCATATCCGGAATGGGATCTTTGAGAATGGAACTCAGAATTTTATTGATAGGAGAATAAACAACCTGAAACTTAAATTTCTGTAAAATACTTGCAATTTATACCTAATTGATGGAAAGAAAGGACTGACAACAGAACTCTTATAATCTCTTAAAACAAGAGTGTGCCTTTTGGGGTGTTGAGATGAGAATTTTTTAACCGCTTGATTAATAATGTTGGAAGAAAAGCCCCTGTCAACAGCCACTGCTTTTAAATAATTTAGTTCTTGATCAAGAGCCAATTTGGAAAAGCAAACTTGAAGTGCACGGAAAACATAGGAATAAAACAAAGGTAACTTTTGTTTAGTCAGATGACATGATTTGAACTGTGGTTGAAGGGAAACCGATGAAGCACTGAAGTTGGATGTGTTGCGTGTGACCAAAATGTCGAGGAACGGAAGAGAATTGCATGTCTCAAGTACAAAAGTGAACTGAATAGCAGGATCAATGGAATTCATTGTTGAAAGAACTTTATTTAAATCATCTTTATTACCATCAAACAAAGTTAAAGTATCATCTATATAGTGGAACCATACTGGGAAATTTAAAGTTTCAAATAATTTTGATTCAAAATAATGCATGTAGATATCAGCCAGGATGGGACTGAGGGGGCTTTCCCTGGCTAGTCCCTCAGTTTGTAATTCTTATTTTGGAAAACAAAATGCGTTTGTCTCAAACAGAGTTGAGTGAGGGAAATTAACTCATCAATTTCGATGCAAGAGAAATGAAATTTACGAAGTCTGGTTTATAGACATCTTAATGCACCCCCACTGGAACACTGGTGAAAAATGATTTTACATCAAAAGAAATCTTGAGGAAATTTCGAGGAGGCATGCTTTTAACTTTTTTTACAAACTCAATTGAATTTTTTATGGTGTAAATGTAGTAGTAGTTTTTATGGTGTAATAGAGTTGAAAATCTAGAAACTAAATATTTAGGTAACGGGTACGAGGCAGTGAGTAAATTTGATAAAATAGGGTGGAAAGGAATACCACTTTTATGAATTTTGGGAAGAGCATATAATCTGTAATAATTCGCAACAATATAATATAATAATTCGCAACGGGTGGGATAAGCAACTGTTTTAAGTTGGTCAAAAGGATTTGTGAAGATTTGATTGCAGTTTTTATTTTTGAGAGGTGAAGGGTCTTCAGGGATCGGATTATATGGCCCTTTGTTTAAGAGTTTAGTGATACCATCGATGTAAGCTGCTGATCAATGTTTGTTTCTAAATTAATACTTGTTTGACATATTATTTTAATTATAAAATGGTATTTAAAAAATCAAAATACTGAAGAATAATAATAATACTTGAATAAAAGTAAATGATAAAATATACATAAATTAAAATCATAACTTTAATTTGCAATAGTTCACTGCCCCCCTTTTTTTAAAATTATTTTGATTGATTAATTTTAAGTTACAACATTATCACTACGCAAGAATCATGTAAGGAACATTAATTTTGAAATGATGCAGTTTAGAGAGATTTATTTTAAGTAGTCAATGTCCCCAGCACATAAAGGGAAGAATATCGAAACCAACTATTGCAACTGCCAAGTCAAAATTTTTATCTACATACTTTTCTAATTATGGGATGCCACTTAACACAAATGTGGATGCAAAATCTAACTTGTCGAAACCCTAATGATATGTATAGTTTTATAGAAAAAATTGTAATAACAGGGATTATCATATAACATGAATAAAGTGCACAGTGCCAAATTTGTACAATTCCCTGACTTTTTTAAAAAGAAAAACAAATTGTTGTTTGTTCTTCCTATGTACACACAGCAGTCTGTTTTTGCTTAAAAAATTATTGAAGAATTGAGTAAATTCAACATTGTGCACATTAAATGCTGCATAGTTATTAATGACAAATATGAGCAATAAACCAGCTTGGCGAATGACACTCCATTTACAGAAAAGTACCCTTTTATCAGTACTTGCACAAGGTAACCAAAAAAGTTCTTGCCGTTTTGGACAGTCAGAAAGAAAAAGTTATAAAACAAATAATAATCACAGCTAATCCTCAAAGTATCACTATTGGCATCCAGTGCCTTTTGCCAATGAGTGGCTAGCTATGCAATGCCATTGCGGTAAAACTCAGGAGTCTTGGACGCAAAGAAGTCTGTGAGGCCCTTTTTCCAGGTCTGTCCAGTTGTTGAAGGATTTCCCACGATGATGGTTGCTCAGGAAATGAAAAAGGTGGTAGTCCGTAGGCGCGAGGCCTGGGGAGTATGGTGGATGGGGTAGCGTCTCTCAGCCCATTCGCTGGATGGTATCCCTGGCCTCCTGAGCCACATGTGGCCTTACATTGTCATGGAGGAGGAGCACACCATTACGATTAACCAATGCTGGTTCTCATTGCATCAGTGTCTGACGCACACGTTCACACTACTGTGAGTACAGGCCTGCCACAATGGTTTGGCCACTGGCAGGAGCTCATAGTTCACCACTTGGCGATTAATCCACCAGATACAGAGCATGATCTAGCTTGGGTGAAGAGAAGGTCTCGCAGTGTGAGGCACAGGGTCCCATGGTGACAACCAATGTCTGGAATGCCTGGATGTGTCATATGGGACCCACTTTTCATCGCTGGTGAGTACTTGATCAAATATGGATGAATTGCGGTGCCGAATAACAGGCAGCTATTGCTTGTTTGCACTGGACAGTGAGTGGGGTACCTAGCAGCTTAGCTTGTATGCCTTTCCTATGCGGTGCAAATGGCGTCTGATCATTTCATCAGATGCCTGGAAGTGTGTAGCAAGCTCACCACATGTTTGGCTACTGTCACTCTCTATGCCTGCTCTCAAGGCCTCATCGTCCAGTGCTTGTGGCTGACTGCTGCTTTGTGCATCACTAAGAGACATATCCCCTAACCTAAACATCTGGAACCATTGCCTAGCGGTTCATTCGTCAACGGCATCATTCCCAAAGGCCTGGCAAATTTAGGGATTTGATTCTGCTGTTGACAGGCTCACTTTAAAATCATACAGCAAATAACTCCGAATGAGCGCCTTTCACACATCCATTTCAATCAGTCACTGTGCGAGTTATGGTTGAAGAACCAATGCAATGCACTTTCAAACTCTTAGTCAATGTCCAGACTCCCATCCTAACCACTTCATTGCCAGGTTTGCAACTATTTTTATGTTGGGATTAACTCTTCCAATGTCATATCAGAAACGGCAAGAACATTTTTGGTTACCTTGTATATACGTGTAGTATCTTAAGGATGTAGATGAAGCTGGTACGTTTAGCAGCTTGCCGTCATCATAGCTGAGGATGGATATTTTGATGTGTTGCAGCTTGAAGTCTGCATAGTTAGATAGATGGATACACAAACCAAAACTTTCAGACGTGGAACTTTTCGAAAACATACTTTTATTCCATGACAATTCACATCAGATCATTTTTGTAGACTGGGCCTTCTGAATTGCTCTTAAATCACATGTGAAGTTGGAAGTGATGCTGCCTGCTCCATAGCTTTGGAGTATAGCTGCCCCATTTGGTAGTGTGATGTGAATACCAGCTCCACCCTGTTGAATAGTCTCATCTGATGAACCACCTCTGTAAATTTTTACCAAATCAGCTCCCAGAAAGGACTCAATTGTTTGAGTACCTCCTTCCAATGTCATCTAACTTCCTTTCACCTTGATAACAGCTTCAGTTTCCTTTTTGTACAATATTCCAACGGATCGATATTTATTTTGATGCTAATGGGGATGTAAGAAGGCAGATTAGGCTTTTGAAGGACAGTGTAGATGTCATGTTTGAAAGCAACATTTTCTCTGATCTCATTGTCATATTTCAGAGTAGATGACCTCTTAAGTCTTAACTTGCTGTTCCAGTTTCCAAAAGTCCTTCTGGAGATGTGACCCATGTCTCGGCTCCTGGCCTTATTTGTAAACTTGAGTGCGAGATATTTCTTTCTCTGTAAAAGGGTCGGATGTCTACACTCCTGTTCTGCCTTAACCTCTCATGGAAAAATGGTTGCCAGTGCCTCAAGAGGGTGGACTTCTGCTTGTTGGTCCACTGACGGTATTTCATTTCCCTTCTACCACTCAAAGGAGGCATTCTCCTATTCATCACCTTGGGGACACATCCTCTAGGGATTATATACTTCCCTGCTCTCTAGGGGTTACACCTTACAAGATGAAATGCACATATAAGCATAGTAAGAGGAAGGCATGAAAGTGTGAACATTTCAGCAAAGTGAAATTTATAGAGCTGGTTCTTTGTTTTAATTCTGATCTGCAATTGGATAAAAATATATGCTATGCTACTCTTATATAATGGCATAATGCAGATTAATTTTGAGATTACGCACTTTAGATTCACATATTGGTAATTTTAAGACAGGAAGCAAACAAGCGAAATTAAAAGGACTTCAGCTAAATTAAAGTTAGTAGCTTTCTTTTATATTTTATAGTAGATATATATACAGTCAAAAGTCTTTAATTGGACGTCCATAATCCGGACCTCAAAGCTACAAACTTTTGCGCATGCGTCGGCATATATTTTACGCATGCAGTTCAAGTATAAGGGTATAAGATAAGAAAATTACCTAATTATCATTTCAGTTATGTTGCAGATTGCGTGTCCTTAATCTTCTAATTGGATCCGTTTATTATTTTTTGCAGACTGTAGAGCAATTATAAACGTAAGCTTGAACTTTTGATATGTCATAAAGAATTTCCGATTTGGAGCTGCCAAAGGATTACAACCGAAGCATATTTCGATGTCCACAACAAAAGTGGAATGCTGCAAAAAAAGGATAAAGGCATATCCTTTGTTCTCTAACCATCCGAAATCTGTTTACAATTTCACGCTGCTGCGGGGGGGGGGACGTCGCATCGAGCAATGAACTGTAAGTTGATCTGTCAGCACTATCGTTATCTTCAGGGCAGATGTTTTATTTTATTGGTTATTTCCTTACTAAATGTAGTATTTCATCTCGATGTACTCCGTCTTTGATATGATTTAATCAAATCCTCTCATTATAAATATCACGAATAACATAAATAGTTTTCTGGTTGCAATTTTCTAATTTCGACTATGCGTGATGTATGCTTTACACATGCGTTGAAAGAAATGTTTAATAAAGTAAACAAATAAATATTAAAGCTTTTTTTTTTTTTTTTTTTGTAAATTTTGATACTCTTTAGAACATAACTGCTCTTTATTTCATAAATTACGGTTCCATATTTTTAATTTTATAATTTCTGCATGCGATCTTACCAGATTTAAATTGATGATCTATAATCCGGAATCGCCGAAGTCCCAAAGAGTCCGGATTAAAGACTTTTGACTGTACATAATAATTTAGAAATGTAGGAGAGAAGACATAAATAATTTTAATCACAGATGATAGAGCTAGATCGTGTCGGCATACAAAATACATAATTGTGTAATAGAAGGATGAAACTTGCAGATAAACTTAGCTGTAGATTCTTTTTTTTTTTTTTTAAATTTTTGGATAAAATAATTCTTGAGATGAATATTCTGATTCAGACAGCGTAGTTTGCACCCACATTTTTCAGAATTTTAAAGCATCTGAAGACAATGGATGATACAGAAAAGTGAGCTGCTATATGTTAGTTGGAAGCAAGCAAGTGCTTCCAACTAACATACTTGCTTGAGTATAACACATTCAGAAGAAAGCCTAGGAGATGTCAGAAGGTTTTGGTTATCAAAAAAGTTTTGATTTTTAACTGAAATCTTATTTGCAGAATGGCTAAAATGTACCTGCATTACATTATTATGTAAGATTGCATGATATGATTAATTTGAAATGATGCAATTTAGATTGATATATTATGATGATTTATCAAATGATTTACTCAAATTTCAAAATTTACACTTCTAGTCAACAGAAAGATTGCCCTTTGTCTCTTTAGCCGATCTGCCTCTTCATGACCAATGCTTTCCTAGCTTTTTCTGGAGTCCATAGCTACTTCTTCACTATTTAAAGACTCTTAATGTACAGTAATATTTAAAAGCATTCCATGAAATTTTGTTACAACTCTCTGTGAATATCACATGTTGATCCCAAATAGAAGATTTTGATTATGGAAACCTTAAAAGATTGGATACAGAAGTTGCATGTCTACCTGCTATGATGTGGTATCCAAGAAGGAACACTTATTCATTTACAGTGATTCTACAGGTCTTTTTTGTTAACCTTAAAATAAGGAAATTCTGCCACTCTGTAGTCAAACTGGGACAAAGAACATGGACTGGAGGAGGGGTAAGAAAATTTTGGTCAAATCTGTTTTATTAAGTATTACGTATCTGAACAATAAAGCCACAGTACATTAAATGAAAGAACAATGAAAGCTTTAACAGGTATAAGTAAAATATTTTGGTACTGAAGATTTTCATCTTTTGCCAATCTGACTTTAATTAGCAGTGGAGATGAACTTGATAAATGGCAGCTTTTTCATCTACTAATATGTACTCATTTTGGTTCCTGCAAATTTGAATCGAATAAGCTGCTGATATTTTTAACCAGTGAATTTAACTGCCTAATGAACGTGCCCAAGATAGCTCGGGAATGGATGCCATTTCGATTTTCCTATGAACGAGTTAACTTGGGAGCTGAAAATTTTACACATATTTAATGCCATTACCTGCAATATCGTGTAACAATCGGCACTCTGCCATGCACGTTTTCTTAGCGGTGGAGGGGTCCAAGTGGCTTTTGTGATTGGTTCATCGACACACTGCCATGCACGTTTTCTTAGCTGTGGAAGGGGTCCAAGCGGCTTTTGTGATTAACCTCGAGCAGTAATGGCATTATTACTGTGCACATTGTGATGTGCCGATATGTGCTACACCATGTTTCAGACTGTCAATGACATTTAGAGATCGTAAAATGTGTTTACTTGATTTTTTTATTTTAGCTCTTATTACCTAGACTACAGTTCTGTTTACTTTTGGCTAGATAGTTTTTTTTTTTGAGGGGGGGTTGCTTCATTGAAGCTTGAGTTAACTCGGGTAATGTCATGAACCATAATAAATATCTTGTTTCCCCCCTCAAAAAAAAATTTTTTTTTTTTTTTTTTGCACTTTACAAAGCTACATCTGTAGATAATAAAAGTAGTATACAAAAATCAGGGATTTTCGGCATAATTTTTAATAAAAATTTGATCATTACACAATTAATAAGCAGTGATTATGCATACATATACATAGATAGATATATATATATTTATAATTAGAAAACATTTTGTATATCTCTTCAAAGAATAAATTGATTAAAACAAAAAAAATTTAATCATTTAATTATTATTTAGATTAGTATTTCAAAAATCTTTACTCCTCAAAAACATAAATATTGAAAAGAAAATTTTAATTGCAAAAATACCAAAATCAAAAGTAAAAATAATTTTTTTTTTTTTAAGTATTGGAAAAGTAGCTACAGTCATTGATCACAGATTAAACGACTAATCAAGTGGAGTACAGCAATCTACCATCAATTAACAACACCTAAATTAAGTGAGAGGTTTTGTCTTATTCCAAGTAACAAATATATTTCCTAGAGCCAAATTAAAAGTCAGAAAATACTAATCAAAATAAAGTCAATTAATTTACAATCAATGAATATACCTCCTTTTTCAAAACTTAAAACAAATTTTTGTTTTTACTTTTAATTATGGTATTTTTTAAATTAAAAATTTTCCTTCACAGATTTTTGTTTTTAAAGCAATACAGATTTGAAATACTTTAAATCAGTAAAATATTGACTAAAAATTTTTTTTTTGTTTTAATGAATTTGTTCCTTGGAGATGGTATGAAAAGTTTCCTAATATAAATATTGGTTATTTGGAGTTTAGCACAGGTCACAGGCTTTTTCTTACTCATAATTACTTTATTTAGTATATCTAATATATATATATCAAAGGCGATAATATACTAAATAATCTAATGGAAATAAATTATTATTTTACTACTTTGCAGGTCTAGAACAAGTATTAGGCAATTTATTGCGATTAACTAGTCTGCTTATATGTGTGAGTGATTACAGAAATATACATATGTGTGCATAAGTGTGTAAAATAAAATTTTAAGTTTAATTTGCAACAGCCCTTTACATCTTTTTAATCATTTCTATTTTCCATCGTAAAAGCAGTAGTATGTATAACGTAAATCTCTATCAGCAGCATAATTTCAAAATTAATCCTTGTCGTATGCTTCTTATATAAAACTTATGATGCATATACTTGTATAATGCTTTACCAATAAATGTTCAAAGTGTCCGAATACCGATACGAGTTCATTTACAAAACATTTTTAATGAACTGTTTGTTTACAAAAATATTTCGAATAATTTTTTCGAAAACAAGCAGATTTAAAAAAAAGATTATAACAGTATACGGGAAAGAAAAACATTGTCATTTCGTTAACATTTAGTAACTGGTATTTGTAAATAAAAATGAGATACACAAGTGTCTGAAAACCAATTTGAGCCTTTGTAAATAGTAATCGTTAATCAATGTCTAAAAAATGGGATTAATCTCCTGTTAACAAATCATAAAAGAATAATGAACTCAAAACATATTTTACGGATATTTAAGCCAATAATTAATGCTTTTGGAATAAATATACTATTAAAGGACTCACTTGGGAAGAGTTTATGTATTTTTTCTAAAACATTTCACGAAAGATGTATCGCAATGTCTTTCGGTGCATCACGAAGTCCTTTTACTTCGTGAAATTCAAAATTCTGAATAAAAATTTGGGATTAAGAAATATGAATTAACGAGATTATCAGCTCCAGTTCCGAATTTAAGAACATTACTCCAAATAAGTATTCATAAGCCTTTTTTCGTAGCATTTCACCTCTGAAAAATCATTTTCTACATGAAAGTAATGTTAACCAGTTAAAACCTCGAAAAAAGGAAAATGTTGATCCTATACCATAACTGTAACTGAAGTGCAATCATGGAGCAAAAGGCCGGTTATGAGTTACTTCGGGAAAAGCATGTCAAGTATTGTTTACGTTGTCTTAGTGTTTTACCACAAGTGTGCGAGGGTTTAGATACTACCAGGTAAGAAGGTGAAATACTGTTAGTAGATATAACTATGTACAGAAGATATAATTATTCTTCCAGTCCACCGGTGGCCGAATGATTGAGATCCGTAAACACAGATAGTTCAAGCCGAGCTCGAATTCCTGAGAATATATGTGTTTTCCTGATTTTTCCCTCGTGTAGTATAAATATGGGTCTGTTTCACTGAGACAGTTATCCACGAAGGCACTTGTGTTCTAAGCGAATAGCTGTCGTGTTCTTTGCCATAGTAAACAAACAAACAGTATTCTTCGTCCAGAACTCAGCAAAATTGATGCAGTAAAAATATTTAAGGTTATTTAATTGCTTGAAAATTGTGATGCATCAAGCAATGACATTATGATAACGGAAGATCTTGCATTAAAAAAGTTACAGAAATCAGTAATTTTAACTGCGGGTAATTCAATAATTTATATTGTCAAACCAAGGACACCACATTTATGGCTACTCGTTTTTGCTTTTGCAGTATTTTGTGATATTTTTTAGAATTCTGCTGAATTTAGGTAAAGTCCTAGGAGAGCCCACACTCTTGGTGACAAACTGGGAAAGTCCGCACTGCTTAGGGCGTTTTTCAAAATCACCAACTTGAAAATAACAGGTCAAAGAATTGCACAAACTCATTATCCATGTACACATCGACCTATTTTCACTTAAAAAATATCAGAAAATTGCACAAACTTGGCATTTCATACTCCCTTGACTGTACCATGTACACATCGTACACACAATGTATACATTGATACACGCCATAACCGAAATCATTCGCGCCAAGGTTGTGGGCTCTGCTAGGATCCAACTGAAGTAAAAATATCTGTAACAGTATTTTTTAGAATGATCCATGGGTCCGTAGCTGATTTCTGTTGAATGTTTGACAACCAATACTAAAAATGCATGGATGTTTGTAAATGTAAACATCCAAGTGACATTGCGGAATGAGGGTATTCAAAATATATGGTGAGTCAAAACTCCTTTTGAATGGTTTGGTGGTAGGGAAAGAAAGGTGAGAGACTCTTGGATCAGTGACGTGGATGCTGTCCTTCAAAATTATGGTCAAATGGAT